GAGACACAGAGATACAGAAAGAAAGATACAAAGAGACAGAGAGCGACAGACAGAGATAAAGATAGATAGATACAGAGAGAAATACAAAGAGAGACGGATACATACAGAGACACTGAGAGACACAGAGAGAATATGTGTGTATGTATGTGCATGTGTGTATACCTGCTTCACAATATCCTGTTAAATCCTCAGATATATATCTGCGGTATATAGAGTCAATCAAGTCTTTAAGTATATTTTGTAATTTTACGTGTATGTGCATGTGTGTGTGTATCTTTTAATCTGGTAATCCTAGTTTCAGCTTCAAAGCAGACAGGTCACCCCATAGTTGCACCGCTCCTGTGCCAACGAAAAACACACGTAGCTCACAGTGTCACGCCATGCACTCAACTCAGAAGCTGGGCGACGAAACTATATCCTTTCAGTCTACAAATGCAGCAAAAATGCAACGGCCACCGTCAGGCAGGAAAAAAAAAAACAATAGGTGGCCGTGCCTAGCGTCCATTTTGACCGGAAGCATTATATGAGGGTTAATAAACGGTCACCACAGCAGTACCCTCATTATGAGCTGGGGAAGGGACTTAGGACATTCCATCCACTAGCAGGCGTCGCCCCTACAACGACCTGCCTGCCTTCGTTAACGACTGTTCACCCAACAGTCATGCAGTTCTTTAGCACGAAGGAGACACCTTGAACTTGGGTTTCGGACTGCCGACTCCCTACAAGATGTTATTTTATTTTTGTTGTCACACTTGCTGTCACTGCACACTGGGCATACCTATGCGTGCTCAGTTCTCCGAAGCAGCAGCCACTCCAAAGTACTTCTACTAATTGTCCCCATGAGAAGCTGGTTATATTGTCTCCTTTCTCGGCCTCGTGCATCACCATGCCTAACTCCCATGTCACGCAATCGTGATAGTATCAGGGATTGATCATTCTCTACTAGTCCAGCTCGTACAGCGTTGACGATGTCTGCTCTGTCCATGCTTTTTCCCGCAATCATTAGTGCAGTGCTTGCCAGTTGGTCCGCTCGCTCATTTCCCTTCACGCCCGCAGGACCCGGTGTGTAGATCCAGGTTACGGAGGTTAAGTGCGATTTCCGAATGCTTTCTATCCATTCAGAGCGCATATTGCCTGTTTCTATCTTCTGAAGCATATCCATTGAGTCTGAGACAATTACTACCTGTGTGGCGGTTTGCTCGGATACCCATGCTAAAGCTCTAGAAGCAGCGGCTATTTCCATCGTCATGCTTGACGTGGTTGCCTGGTAAGCGCCGCTGTCCTCATGTATTGTTTCCCCCCTTCTTTGCGCTGTGTATGCCCATGCTGACCTTGATCTGCGCTTCACGGATCCATCTGTGTAGATGATGATATCTTCTGGGTCTGAATGCTGATCTATCAGTTCCCTTACTTCTGTGTCTACGGCCGCAGGAATTTGATCCCTGCAGTACCTTCCGAGTGTGATGACCACCTTAGAGATGCCATGCATGTCTGCTGGTGTATTCGTCCATTCTTTTCCGTGACTGATCACGTCTAGGTCACATACCTGCTGGATTAAATCCTCAGTCTTTGCCATCCAAGAGCGGCCTCTTTTGAGACGCGTTCCTTTTGTGTCGTGTATAGCTTTGTGCAATGGGTGGTTAACGTCTGCCGATACCCTCATGTAAGCCTTGACCTGTGCCACTTTGTATCTGCTAGTCATCGTCTGCAAACCCAGGACATAACGCATGGCGTTGCAGGATGTGTCTTTTGTGCAGCCGAGTATGAGTCTCATGGCCTCATTTTGTACTCGGTCCAGTCTTTCTAGCTGGGTTTTGCTGACAGTGAGAAGGACAAGACCATAATCAATGACGCTAGGCACAAGCCCTTGATAGAGAAGGAAAAGTAGGCGTTGTTCAATATCAGCTGCTGCTAGCACCTTGAGTGCTGTCAAACCTTTTCTGGATCTAAGTATGACGTTGTCTACGTGGCATTTGTATGACAAGCATCTGTCAAATGTCATGCCCAGGTATTTCATGGTGTCCGTTCTCTCGATGTTCACACCACAGATGCTTACGACTGGCGTTGGTGTACTAACGATGTAGGTATTCAGAGAGAACCATGCTAAGGAGGCTTTGGACGGGTTCACCTTAGCTCTTGATTCCTGGCACCACTCACCAAGTCTGTCTAGTTCGTGTTGTAGTGTGGTTGTAATTTCCTGCCTGTTTTTACCTCGACGGTAAACAAGGATATCATCTGCATACGATATTGTTCTACCTAGGCCTACGCTTTGTGCACCCGTGACTCCTGCTGTGTAACATTGAAGAGCACAGGCGACAATGGTGATCCCTGGGGCAGACCCATTAGGACGCGTTGAGGTTCGGATACCCATTCACCACATCGAAGCGACACTGTTCTTTCAAACAGCGCAGCTGCGATCCAGTTGACCAATTTTGTTTCTATCTACATATCCAACAGCAGTCTGATGAGCTTGTTATATGGGACGCTGTTGTACGCATCTTCTAAGTCAATAGCGGCTGCAGCCGTTTCCATTCCCTCCTGGAAACCTTCGTCGGTGTCGTAGGCAAATACTGCAGCATTGCACCATGTCTCTCTTCCTGGTCGGTACCCACCTAGTGTATCGGGGAATAGGCCACCTGACTCCAATGTTTTGGTCAACGTTCTGGCAACGATTTTTTCCATGAGCTTTCCTACAGTGTTCTAGAGTGTGGTGATTCTGTAGCCATTTATTCTCGTGTGGTCTTTTCCTGGTTTAGGAACCGGTCTGGGGTAGCTGTGAAGCCAGTCATCAGGAATAATACCAGTTTTCATGGTGTTGTTAAAAATCGTAGATAGTTCATCCATATCTGTAGCCTCGAGGCTTTTGAAGTCGCTGTATCTAATGCCATCAGGCCCTGGAGCTGTGTCTGGACAGGCCTTCAGTGTTGCTCTGATGCAGTCCGTTGAGATGTATACTGTATCATCGACTTCCTACATTTCAGCCATATCGTGTAAACTCTGTTTCATCTGTTCCCTCTCTTCCCTATCTTTATTTTCCGTCTGCAGGAGAAATCTGTATCCGATTGTAACACCACCCTCTTGTCTATCTTTAGCTCGGGCATAACAGAGGTTTGTTTGCCTCCGTTCATCTTTTGGTGGAGCCGCCAGTGTGTATATTGTATGAGTGTTTCAAGTAACCAGTCTTCACTGTGGTAACGGCACTTGATTGACTAGAAATTACGGTATAGACTGGACAGCGAAGCCAGGGGCAGAAAACTGGCAGAACCTAGGGACGGGGATAAGTGGGAGAAGCCAAGGGGAGCTGACTCTAACGGCCGGCAATGTTTACAACTGATGACGTCTGCCTGCTAGGGAGGGAGCACAGAGACCCAAGATGTTGTCTTCTGTCAATTTACTGGGCAATCTACGCCTCACCACAGCCTGACTGGAACTGAAGCTGATACCTGGGTATACAACACACGTCCAGCAACTACTTTCTGTCAGTTGTAGGATACATGACTGATTAATTGTCCAGGCTGTTGTTGTTTTTGACCAGCCATCAACTTGCTATCTCACGGCCCTGCTAGCTCACTAGTTATTTTCTTTTCTGTTCATTGCTCAATGTTATAATTGCTGTATAAAGTAACCATTGAGTTTTCAGTGTATATATTTGTAATTTTATGTATCCTAAACTGTTTTTTTAGGACATTTATGTAAAATATTGGCTATCCTCCGAATAACGGGCACAAAAGACTGCGGCCGCAAAAACACCCTAACAGACTTAATTTGTGGTTTTCCGGCGACTGCCGCTACCGCCGAGAGTATCTCCTACGCCGGGCATAGATTGAGGCTAAACTAGATGGCTGGAACTCACGAGCAGCAGTTTCCGCATCTCCTGCAGCTTTGCTCGTGAGTCCTAGCCAACTAGTTTAGCCCCAATCCACGCCGCGTGGGGGATACTCTCGGCGGTGACGGTAGTAGCCGGAAAACCACAAATTAGGTAGCTGTAAGTGCGTAATTGACACGTGACTGATGCCCTGTTTTTGTCCGCCATCTTTTGTGTCAGTTATTCAGAGGATAGCCCAAATATAGTTTTGTTTACAGTTTACACATTTTTGTACTATGATAAAAATCAAAATTGCACAGTGAAAATTGAGATACTTTTACCACATTGTGTCATTTTTTATAATAGGTTTATTGTGTCAGTATAATAGTTTATGTCGGCTCTGTGGCTAAGCCGATGCGAACGCTTCGTAATGCCGGGGTACCGAGTTCGATCCCAGCTGTGGGCCATACACCTTGCGTTGGTTTCAAAGTGGTATCAGGGAGCCGACTGTCCAGAAAGCAATGGCAAACTACTGGACATAAATTTGCCTAGTGAAACCACACAACAGCCAGGGGTTGATGGGGTTGGTTCTGCAACGTCCTGTAAAGGATACGCAACTAACCTATAATAGTTTATTGTCAGTCTGATGTCAGTGTTAGGAGCTCTTTGAAGTCCTTCCAATCATGGCTGCAATTTTTGGTGGAGATGCCTGCAGATTATATTTGCAGCTAAGTAGTTTATGCTTGATGTGATATTCTCGGCATACAGCTAGCTGTTCTGTGGGTGGAGAAAGACTAAGCCGTATGGCATACCACTTGGTACAGTGTAGTTGATCCACACTTTTCTCAGCTTAATGTGTCTATAACTTACTGCCCTTACTTGTAGCTTTGAATTGTTGAGAAGATAATCAAACATTCATGAGCTCGGCTTGTTACCAGGTCAAGTAATGCATGTATGATGAAGCTGCAGACAGACAGGCTTACTAGCAGCTGCATGAAACAAAACACTACTGTCATTTTATGAAACAGTATATTTTTGTATACTTACATATAACAGATACATGTCTCTCACTGTTTGCACACATACATATAACAGATATGAATATATTGAAATATGTCTGTTACTGCTTGCACACAGGCTGACTAACTGGCAGTAATGATCTGTTAGAATATTCTCTGATTGACCACACTGAGAAATGAGTCAACGAGACCTGGATTCCATGGACCGACCTCTCTTTGGTGGCGCGCCTACATCAACTGTAAGATTTTCATGTCAGTTTCAGAATTAACATTCAAGTCTTATTGTTAATATTGTCTGTGTTGGACATAACATTCAAGTCTTATTGTTAATATTGTCTGTGTCAGAAATAACAAGGCTTGTTGACATTTGTAAGAGAGTTAGGTGGTAGAGGTGACTGGGGCCTCTGTTGTGTGCTACATGAGCTACCACTAGCCAGCACACTACCAAGCGTCTAGCAGGTACCCTTCCGCTTCCTCTCTTAGAAACAGAACTTGATGACAATGACACCGTCATACATTTTATTCAACAGGATACATGACACAACTGCAGAGACGTAGTTATTGATCACAGTTGACATTCGCACATAGTCCATTTGTCCTCACTCGCTCTCTCTCTCTTTCCAAAGACTACAGCGTCCCACACTCTGGACACGCCGTACAGCTAAACAGGATGAATTCTCCCATTCGCTGGGCCTTGATATTATTTCAGCAGACAACACGGCTGACTGGAGACGGACTTCCCTTGCCGTTCTCCATAAACACACAGCTGTCGTCAGCTTGTCGAAGGGCTCCGATGACCGACAGGACCTTTACGATAAGTCCCCTCTAGCACACAGCTCTCGTCGGCATCACCCCCCTGTTCTGTTTCACTAGTGGTCCTCCTACGTTTCACTACGTCGCCACCCAGAACAGGTACTACTAGAGCATTCCGTCCCCTGTACTTACTTTGTCAGCGGGACCATACCTTTGACCAGTACCAGAGTCTCTGACTCTCTCTCTTCGACTCTGACTGCCCCTGACTGACTACTTAGCCCTCCAATTTATCCCCCTCAAATCTGTGTAGGTGGATGGTGTTTACACGAGAGGCACGCTCGTATGGGCGTTCTTGTGAATCATGATCCTGTGGGTGTTCGAGACTCACGCTCATGTGGGCGTTCTCGAGGATCACGCTTATGTGGGGGGCTGATGTTACCTGAGAATCATGCTGTCACTTAATTCACATTTTCTCTGTTTATCTCGTTAGCCATGCTTTCAGCTCCCACACAGTAACCCACGCGTCAACTTTCTCGTGGCACTACAGAATTACTCTCATACCACCATCCCTTCACACAATATCACACTTTACCCAAATCAGTGCGCATTAGCCTCACAACAGAATATTTCCAAAGACAGGAACGTCGGCACTATAAGTAACCTCCATGTGCAATCTTCATATAATTTAATTAATTCTAGTAGATAGATCTGAGAGTTTTGCAGATCATTAATGAGTAGTTAGTGATTTAACTAAAACTGTAGCTAACGCACTGCTTTACATACCACATGCTTTTGTCTACCTGAGTAGTAGCGAGGATTTGTGGCTGTGTATGAGCAGCTTTTGTCTTGTGTGTTGTACACATGATGTTTGCTGACATGTCTAAACTGTTTCTCCTTGTCTCCAGGACCGCGTCATCAACTTGGTGGTGGGAATGCTGACAACCATCATGGTTGTGGTAAGTGCTGAGAGTCAGCAGTGTTTGTTTGTTATCTTGGATTGTTGACATAAGAGTTGACTGTTACATAACTGGCATGCCAGGTTCCACATAAACTAGTTTAAATAAGCAAACATTTGGTGTGTACTTTCATTAAGTCTCTACTCATTTTAGTTGACTTCCATTGGCTGCACAAGGGACCTCTCTGCACCATGCTAGCACTTTGTAGCACTGAGAGTGTGTGTCCATATGGAGAAGATAAACAGAAGCCTATGTCATCTAGGACTGTCAGCACTGTGAACTGTGCAGCGTGTGTCCATATAGAGAAGACAAACAGTAGCCTATGTCCTCTAGGACTGTCAGCACTGTGAACTGTGCAGTGTGTGTCCATATAGAGAAGACAAACAGTAGCCTATGTCCTCTAGGACTGTCAGCACTGTGAACTGTGCAGTGTGTGTCCATATAGAGAAGACAAACAGTAGCCTATGTCCTCTAGGACTGTCAGCACTGTGAACTGTGCAGTGTGTGTCCATATGGAGAAGATAAACAGAAGCCTATGTCCTCTAGGACTGTCAGCACTGTGAACTGTGCAGTGTGTGTCCATATGGAGAAGATAAACAGAAGCCTATGTCCTCTAGGACAGTCAGCATTGTGAACTGTGCAGTGTGTGTCCATATGGAGAAGACAAACAGTAGCCTATGTCCTCTAGGACAGTCAGCACTGTGAACTGTGCAGTGTGTGTCCATATGGAGAAGATAAACAGAAGCCTATGTCCTCTAGGACAGTCAGCATTGTGAACTGTGCAGTGTGTGTCCATATGGAGAAGATAAACAGAAGCCTATGTCCTCTAGGACAGTCAGCATTGTGAACTGTGCAGTGTGTGTCCATATGGAGAAGACAAACAGTAGCCTATGTCCTCTAGGACAGTCAGCACTGTGAACTGTGCAGTGTGTGTCCATATGGAGAAGATAAACAGAAGCCTATGTCCTCTAGGACTGTCGGCACTGTGAACTGTGCAGCGTGTGTCCATATGGAGAAGTCAAACAGTAGCCTATGTCCTCTAGGACAGTCAGCACTGTGAACTGTGCAGTGTGTGTCCATATGGAGAAGACAAACAGTAGCCTATGTCCTCTAGGACAGTCAGCATTGTGAACTGTGCAGTGTGTGTCCATATAGAGAAGACAAACAGTAGCCTATGTCCTCTAGGACTGTCGGCACTGTGAACTGTGCAGTGTGTGTCCATATGAAGAAGACAAACAGTAGCCTATGTCCTCTACGACTGTCAGCACTGTGAACTGTGCAGTGTGTGTCCATATAGAGCAGACAAACAGTTGCCTATGTCCTTTAGGACGGTCAGCATTGTGAACTGTGCAGCGTGTATCCATATAGAGAAGACAAACAGTAGCCTATGTCCTTTAGGGCGGTCAGCATTGTGAACTGTATAAAGTAGCAGCTAGATCTTCCTTTAGCCAGCTGATACAGAAACCACATGCTGACAACAGAAGCTTGAGATGTGCTCTCAAATAAAATAACAGCACTGTCAGATTTTGTGAAATATATTAATGTTTTTTGTGAGTTTGGAGAGATTGTGTAGTTCTGATTCTGACATTAACATGTACCCAACAGAACATTTAAAAGTGTCCTCCTGATGTCACCTGATGTGTTGTTAGTTGTTTACAAACAGTCATGGGAAGGAGGATAGGATGTTGACAGTATACCAATCTAGGATGTGGTAGTCATCTTATGAAACTATAATTTTGACAGACCATTGAAGTGGTCAGCCAGGTACTTTTTGGGACATTTCTTGGTATCCATTTTGAGCTGGGTCCGCCTATAAGCCAAGGTTAATGAAAATATAAATCTGCCTTGCACAGCTTTATCTCTAAGTGTGGAGGAGGAAAAGGGTGGGGGGGGGGGGGGGTGGGGGGGTGGGTGGACAGAATAGAGCCACTGCTCCCTGACAAGCATGTTGCAATGGTGACCATAGAAACAGATCTTTGGTGCCTCTTTGTCAGTAAAATACTCATGTTTTCCTCACTCTGCTTGTTATCCTCTCCTGGGAATGAAAGAATCAAATTGTTAATTTACTTGTTAATTTGCTGGTTATCCTGTCCTGAGAGTGACATAATCAAATTGTTTGTGTGCTTGTTATCCTGTCATGGGAATGACAGAATCAAATTGTTTGTGTGCTTGTTATCCTGTCCTGAGAGTGACAGAATCAAATTGTGTGTGTGTGCTGGTTATCCTGTCCTGGGAGTGACAGAATCAAATTGTGTGTGTGTGCTGGTTATCCTATCCTGGGAGTGACATAATCAAATTGTTTGTATGCTTGTTATCCTGTCCTAGGAGTGACAGAATCAAATTGTGTGTGTGTGCTGGTTATTTTGTCATGGGAGTGACAGAATCAAATTGTGTATGTGTTTGCCTCTTTAGGTGACCATTGTCCTGGCTTTAGTCTTCTACCACAAGCCTCGGGCCGGACTCAACATTTTCTTCGCTATTGTCATCCTCTTTATATGTGGCTCACATGTGGTTCTGGTAAGTACTTTATATGTGGCTCACATGTGGTTCTGGTAAGTACTTTATATGTGGCTCACATGTGGTTCTGGTAAGTACTTTATATGGCTCCTACATTGCTAGGTTGAGTAATATATAAGTAATATATATGTTGCTCACTCATTGTTCTGATGAGTATTTTATATGACTTTATAAAGTGAGGTGAGGAAAATAGTTCTTAAAAGTTTTATAGAACATTTCTGTTACACAGAAGTGAATTTTGGACAAAGCCGATGGATGAGACATTTTGGGGAAGCAGCAGAGATGTGGTTTGTATTCAAAAGATGGGAACACCCTGGAGAGATTTAAAAAAAATTAGTAATGAAGATGTTTTTAAAGAGACGGACTCACAAAGAGAACCGATTGCCCACATCAGAAGGAGACAGTCTACATTCTTTGGCCATGTCATGAAAAGGAGAAAACTGATGTATATCATGACGTTTGGAAAGTTAGAGGAGAAAAAGAGGTAGACAGAGATAAAGAGACAAGCTGCTGGAAAGATAATTTGACATCATCTGTGTCAGAAAGTACACGAGACAGAAGGCTGTGGGCAGACACGACTTCCATCACCGCACGACATGGACTATAAGATACATTTTGGTGTGGTAAATATTTTATCATGTACTGATACACGCAGTTGCGGATCGCAGATTGTGGAGAGGCATGATCACCCACAGCAGTCAGCAAGGCACTTGATGATGATGATGAAGTACTTCATAAGTGGCTGATGAATAGTCATGAACAGAGATTATACACTGGGGCTGGGCAGGATTAGGCTTCTGTTATGCATTCGGGCAGTAATGTGTGGACTTGTGGTTTCTATTGCCCACAGTTGAGGGGCCAGAGTTATCAGAGTTACACTGTCAGAGGTACAATGTCAGAGATACACTGTCATAGGTACACTATCAGAGTTACACTGTCATAGGTACACTATCAGAGTTACACTGTCATAGGTACACTATCAGAGTTACACTGTCATAGGTACGCTATCAGAGTTACACTGTCATAGGTACACTATCAGAGTTACACTGTCAGAGGTACAATGTCAGAGATACACTATCAGAGTTACACTGTCAGAGGTACAATGTCAGAGATACACTATCAGAGTTACACTGTCAGAGGTACAATGTCAGAGATACACTATCAGAGACAGTGTACATTGTCAGAGGTACACTATCAGAGTTACACTGTCATAAGTACGCTATCAGAGTTACACTGTCAGAGGTAAATGACAGCTTGGTGCATAATGACATATCTCCTCATGGATCTTCTTGTCCTTGCCAGTTGGGATGAGGAATCCAGCAGAAGTTACTGCTGGCTAGCCAGCTTGCCCCAGGGACAGTCAGCATCAACATGCTACAACTTTTGCAAGGAGAGACTAAACATCTTCTGGGTTTGTCTGACGTGCAGTGAAATGAGTGTTTATCTTAAAGTATAAATCTGAGAAGGCAGCCATGGTGGCACAGTGGCTGGATGCTTGACTGCCAGCCCAAAGGTCCTGGGTTTGTCTCCACATCAGCTGGAGTTTTTTTAAATTAACCTTGACACCCACATCAGCTCAATCTAAAATTGGTGCCTGGAAGTGCCCTGGGAAGTAAAGGCAGACACTGGGATGTTAAACAGGCATGTCACCAGTCATATGTAAATTGATATACACAGATATGAGTCTAGCATCATATACCTGGTTGAAATGGGTCCTTCCCTTGTATAGATCTAGCCCCTGTTGCAGAATGAGATCAGTAGATGTGCAGGTTTTATTGTTTACCCATTTCCAAATCTGGGACGCAATTATTTTGTTATTTAAAAGCCCCAGCCCGACTGTCATCAGGGGGACCCTAAATATAATAACCTAATGGTTGAACAGGGTTTCTGGGACTTGCACCTGGGTGATTCTCATCCAGTTGGTGGCACTTTATGTTGTTGTGCAGTCCTGGTGAGGTTGAATGTCAGACAGTCAGTCAGTCAGTAAGGAAGTTGACACTTTGATGCTGCTGTCTCTCCCTCAGATATACTGGTACAGGCAAGGAGATCTGGATCCAAAGTTCCGCAGGATGATTTTCTACAATGCCTTTACATTAGTCTTGTTGTGTATAGCGGGCAATCTGTATATCAATGGTGTTGGTACCAGCTGCACATCGTAACACCTTACGTGTGTGTGTTTGTGCGTGCGTGCGTGCATGTGTGTGTGCCAGAGCTGTGCATTCAGTGTACTATTGTCATGTGTGAAACAGCTGGTCCGCCAGTGTACTGTCGCAATGCGTGCAACAGCTGGTCATTCAGTGTACTGTTGCAATGTGTGAAACAGCTGTTGTTTCATTTTACCAATGTAATATGTAAAACAGCTGGTCATTCAGTGTACTGTTGCAGTGTATCCAACAGCTCTACATTCAAGTTTACAGTTGTGACATGAACAGTCTGTTTGATGTGCTGTTTTTGGCAATGATGATAAAAGTAGCTCCCACACAGTCACAGCAACAGTGTCCAGCCAGTGCTGGTCAGTCGGTATGTCTGGTCAGTCGGTATGTCTGGTCAGTCGGTATGTCTGGTCAGTCGGTATGTCTGGTCAGTCGGTATGTCTGGTCAGTCGGTATGTCTGGTCAGTCGGTATGTCTGGTCAGTCGGTATGTCTGGTCAGTCGGTATGTCTGGTCAGTCGGTATGTCTGGTCAGTCGGTATGTCTGGTCAGTCGGTATGTCTGGTGAGTCGGTATGTTTAGTCAGTCGGTATGTCTGGTCAGTCGGTATGTCTGGTCAGTCGGTATGTCTGGTCAGTCGGTATGTCTGGTCAGTCGGTATGTCTGGTCAGTCGGTATGTATGGTCAGTCGGTATGTCTGGTGAGTCGGTATGTCTGGTCAGTCGGTATGTCTGGTCAGTCAGTATGTCTGGTCGGTCGGTATGTCTGGTCAGTCGGTATGTAAACACTTTCATGGGGATTACTGTTAAGCCAACATTTGGGGCACATTAAAGGACCCAGTACTCTACAAAGATAACATTGTCAATGGAAAGTAAGATGCCAGAAAAAGACAAGAGATTCCAGTGAGAAGTTAAGATCAATAAGTAAGATCATTAGATATAAAGTGAAAATTATTATAACAGACAGTGCTATGTAAAGATGTCAGTTGGTCTTATGTGATTTCATGTAGACCATAGTGCCTATACATATTGTATATGTTGAAGAGTGGAACGATTTTATGTGATGATAGTGTTAGCATGACAAAGTCGTGAACAAAGGAAAGTTTGGACACAGAGTTGTGATCTGTTTTACAGTGCACACAGTTGAAGATGAAGATGTTACAGTGCACACAGTTGAAGATGACGATGTTACAGTGCACACAGTTGAAGATGAAGATGTTACAGTGAACACAGTTAAAGATGAAGATGATCAGTTAGTATATTTGCCAGTAAAAGATTCACATTAGGAATTTACAGCTTCCCCTGAACACTGATATGTGATTTCCCCTAAACACTGATATAAGATTTCCCCTGAACACTGATATATGATTTCCTCTGAACACTGACATATTATTTCCCATGAACACACACTGATATATTGTTTCCACGCCAATTACATGTATTAGGAATTGTGTTTATTAATCTGTCATCATCATCATCAGTTTCCACTTTTGCCATTAAGCATCCTGGGGAGGAACAGTTTGCCATCCATTGCTTGATGGGCAGCAATGGCTGTTGTCATTTGGTGTTGATGTAGAAACTCTTTAATGTTGTCAGTTTATATTTTCCTTGAGCAACCTGTTGCTGTGGCATTCAATCTTTTTACATGTAACGCTTGTGTTGATACTTGTGGCTGAATTCTAATGATATGACCAAATCATTTGGTCTTCTGTCTCTCACCGAGTTTGATGCATGAAGACATTTACACAGGCTGAAAACAACCAATAGCGTTGTCTCGTAAACAGGTCATGTTAAACAAGTTACAAAAGTGACATTCACAAGAAATTGGACCCGAACAGAAAGCTATAGCAAAACCAGTAAAGGTTTCTTCTTCAGATATTCTGTCTGTCTATAAATTCAATAAGACAGGGATGAGCACACACCGCTGCGTCAGCCCTGTATTGACTGTAAACATATCGGATATGGCTTCTTGTGTTCTCACTCGCTTTGGGAAGTGTGATACATGGCCATGTGGTTATATCTAGCAGTCAGTCTGTTAAGGACAATAAATACAATATCTGTCAAGTCATATATTTTTATGTACAACCATGGACTGGGTCAAGTCCTGAGTGAGGGCAGAACTTGTGGGGTCAACACAGTGTTGTGAGTACTAGATGTTTCTGGAAGAGGAAGATTATGTAAGGATGTGAAATGGAAACTCAGCTTCATATTGCAGTGATCTAACAGTTGGATATATCCACTCAAAACTATTTAGCATTCTCAGTAAATTCTTAAATACAGAGAGATACATTAGATAGGTGACTTCTTGTGTGTTGTACTGGAATAACAGCCAAAGAGAATGAGACCCAGTATATGTGAATTTGTATAATGTTGCCTATGGAGTGGTTGCCATTGGCTTATCTTAAGCCTTTTGCCTCAAGAAGCTGCAAATGCATGCTTGCTATAGGCTCCAATTCTCCATAAATACAGCTTACCCAGATTTCTACAGTGGCTTGTTTAAAAGCATCTAGTTAATGCTGCTGGTTGTGTTTTCACCTGCACAGTGCTTAGAAGGTCAGGATATGAATATGTTTACTAAAAAAGCATTTAGAAGGGTTTCCTTCTGAGCGGATACATTAAAAAAATATTTATGGGGAATGTATTTAATTTATTACTCTCTTTATTTTGAAATTTTGTTTTTCTCATGTAAATAAATTGAAAAAAAAAATATTAATAGCCTCTGTAAAAGTTTTTTTTTTTTAAATTGACCCATTTTTGTTGCGTTTAGGGGTGAAAGCATTAGGCATAATGTTCTTGTGTGCCAGGTAAGCCATCATTCTGTAGCCATCTTTTAAAGTCATGACCCCTTGGCTTTTTGATGTACAGGAGAGAAAACCCATTTGATTTATCAACAAACTTATATCAAAGTCTTTCCTTATTTTGTTTTTAAATGATGTTTTTATTTCATGACTAATGATTACATTTATTTCATGACTAATGATTACATGACAGATATTCATGTGTTTATGTGCATGTGTCCTTGTTCAGGGACATGTGTCCAGTTTGAAATAATATATTTTTTTCTTTTGCAAATGTAGTTTGTGATAGACAAGCCATGTTGGATCAGCTTTTGTGGATGAATACTCATTGTTTGTGACCACACTGTCAGCACAGTTTACATAAGACTTTACAGCGATTCTGTAACACACAGGAGATGATAATGTTGAAAGCTGTTGTCTTTCTCTTTATCTTTTTTTTTAAATTTGTAAATAGTCCCTGTGGCGGTTATATTTATTTCTTGTTCTCCATCGTCTGCCTCAAAGATGCCTAGTGTTTTACTTTTGCTGCAATAACAGAATACAACTGAGAGGAACAACTTGATTGTACACAGTGGTTTTACCAGATAGTTTTGTCTCTACTTGGGAATTAAGACTAGTTAATCAACATAGAACTGGCACTATTAGCCATCGGATGTTAGGGTTCATACTGAGGGGAGGATCTGAGCACCTATGGACATGTCAGGAGTGCAATGATGATAACCCAACTAACTAACTAACTAACTAACAAAATAGTTTTGTCTCCCTGCACACAACAGCCACATAGAGAGGGGGCTGTGTAGCTGTATTAACAATGTCTAAGGGTTTCTTCAACCCTGCATATGTTGACTGTACGATGCAGTCTGTTAAATGATCCTGCCATCTTTAGAGCGCTTGCTTTCATACTGACACTTTTTACAGGGCCACTTCAAGTTAGTAGTATTTATTTGACGTCCATCATATTCCCTGTATGGCCATTTCATTCTGGTGATGCCTGTCTAAATCCCATTGTGCCAAGTCAAATGAAGCCCCCCCCCCCCCCCCTTTTCCAGGCCTGGGCCTATGATGTTAGACACATATTTGTATAGACCAGGATTAATTAACCAAGTTTAATTAGGGCCTCTTCTTCTGTTGTTGTCTCACTTATACCAGGTTGAAGTCAAGTGTGGAGCTTGTCCGCATTTGTCTTGCGTTACATAAAGGGCAAAATGTTGAAAATGAGGATCGTTATCGTGGCCTCAACATAGAACAATCATTATGTCAGTACAACTGGCAATGATCCGTGAGCCACTTGCTAGGCCTCTGTGGGCCAGATTCAGCATTCCGGCCATCAGCTGAAAAGCTCTGGTATAAACCAGCCAGAGCCTTAGGAGATGTAGTCAACTTTATTTCCCAGCTCATTTCCTGGTACCTGTTTTAGACTGGGTTGACCTGGGAGCCATGGCATTTATAAAGCTTCAGGTTCACATACAGATCCAAACCCAAGAGCTTGGAGCTGGCAGGCAAGTGTTTCTGTCATGAATGCTTGCATACATGCATCTAGAGCATGTGCTACTGTGCTGCATCTCATGACATTTCTTGTCTGCCCTAATGTCACATTCTGTCTAAGTCCTGTTTGCATCAGTTTAACTGTCCTGATGTTACTTGCAGATGTGTCTAATTCCTGTTTATATCAGTTTAACTGTCCTGATGTTACTTGCAGATGTGTCTATGTCCTGTTTATATCAGTTTAACTGTCCTAATGTCACTTGCAGATGTGTCGAATTTTTGCTTGTATCAGTTGAACTGTCCTGATCTCTTGCTTGTATACCTGTGTTGTTCTGTAGGATTGTCCTAGAAGCTCCTTGTAGAGGTTGGGATCTGGCCCAGCAGAGCTACATTACAAGATAAACTGTGAGTGACCAGTAACGATCTTGGATGTATCGTCCTGTGTGTGACCGGTACCGATCTTGTGTATATCATCCTGTGTGTGGCCAGATGGTACTGAATGTTTTTTAGACTGTGTAATGTCAGTTGTTTTTGCCCTTGTTTTCTCAGAGACATTTGATCGAAATATGTTCAATGATTATTATTTCTTCATTTTGTAACTGTACAGTAATCACCCATGTTTACAATTAGGTGAATGCTGTTATTGCCTGGGTCCCTCACCTGTGTCCAGTGCCATGTAGCGATACATCCACATGTTCAGCAGCTACATCCACATGTTCAGCAGCTGATGCCTTGCTCTGTCAGAAGTATTTCTGGTATCTAGCTTTGATGGAAGTAATAATTTCCACAGATCTCCCACAGCTCAAATGAGCAGTCTTCCACAGCTGGACACTCAAGCCATTGATCTCCCAGAGCTGGACACTCAGATCGGTGATCTCACACAGCTGGACACTCAAGTCATTGATCTCCCACAGCTGGACACTCAAGTCAGTGATCTCCCACAGCTGGACACCCAGATCAGTGATCTCCCACAACTAGTAGAAGCAGATACGCCAAAGTCATCTGTGACTGGAGTTCATCATTGCTTGCCAACACTGGGACCGAAGTAACCTTCAGGTTTCATCCTGCAGAGAAACAGCGGATAATGAGGACAAGCATGTGCCTGGCGGTGCCAGCTCACAGTCCCAATACTCAGATGTTCCAGGGAGATAGCTGACACTGTGCATGTACATTTCACTTTCTGCACCAAAACTTGTAACTATTCACAAGGCTATTGTTGAATATAAACGCATGGCTCTAAGGTGTTGTCAGCCATGGCCGACCTTGCATTTTGTTTATATGTTGACAATTCTGTTGTTGGAAAATTATAACTGAAGAGAGCGGATAAAACAATCAGTCAGTGTTGCATTTACTGTGTATTAGTTTGTAAGTGTTCTGGTTTCCAATGTAAACTAATGTTCTGTACAGCCTTACGTGCCACAGGAGTACAGGTTACACCCGGCTAGTGCTTGTTAGCCGTCACGGAGTCCCAGATTGTAACTTCATCAGAGGTTGAATGGGGTAACAGAATTGCCCCTGATGGTTTGCCATCTGGGATATGACTTGAAGTTGCAGGGTTGGCCAAGCCTTCAGGTAGGAGACAGACAGATGTGCACTGTTACTGACAGGCCTTGCCATAAAGCGAAGTGATGTCTGGTATTCTTGTTTGTATCACAGATCGTTTGTGACAGGCCTCACTGTAAAGCTAAGTGATGTAATGTATTCTTGTTTGTATCACAGATCGTTTGTGACAGGCCTCGCTTTTAAGCGAAGTAATGTATAATGTATTGTTGTTTGCATCACTGAACGTTTGTGACAGGCCTCTCTTTAAAGCGAAGTGATGTAATGTTTTCTTGTTTGTATCACTGAACGTTTATGACAGGTCTTGCCGTAAAGCGAAGTGATTCTTGTTTGTATCACTGATCGTATGTGACAGGTCTTGTCGTAAAGCAAATAGGTGTAATGTATTCTTGTTTGTATCACAGATCGTTTGTGACAAGTGTTGTCGTAAAACGAAGTGATGTAATGTAGTCTTGCTTGCATCACTGATCATTTGTGTCTGGCCTCACTTCAAAGCAAAGTGATGTAATGTATTCTTGTTTGTATCACAGATTGTTTGTGACAGGTCTTGCTGTAAAGCTAAGTGATGTAATGTATTCTTGTTTGTATCACAGATTGTTTGTGACAGGTCTTGCTGTAAAGCAAAGTGATGTAATGTATTCTTGTTTGTATCACAGATTGTTTGTGACAGGTCTTGCCGTAAAGCGAAGTGATGTAATGTATTCTTGTTTGAACAAGATGACTCGAAGTAATAACATTTTTCTTAACACATAAATTCATTTATTAATCACTGGCTAATGATTGGCAATTAAAACAAAACTGCAACAGAAATCATTGCTCACATCGACTCTTGCGGCCTTCAAGTCCCCCCACACAGTAGCAGAGAATGTGTTGGAAAAATTACTCTGTGGTGGTGTGTGTGTGTGTGGGGAAAAGTGGGGGGGGGGGGGGGTTGGATTACTGAACACCAAGCAAAGGAAAACAGAAAGACGTAAATAACAAGTTGAAACGGCTGAGCAGTATATAGTCATAAAAGCTTCATCGACTTGATGAAAGTGACGGGCGACACAGATGGTTGGAGAGTTGAGAGTGTTTCCCACAGACTGGATCCCTAGGAGAGACAAGGCGTGCAATGTTCAGACCTTTCCAGTCGCATACATCCATCATTGCTAGAGGGACCATCTCACTGCCTGACCACCAGCACCGGACAGCTGGCGTGGTGGACCACGTACTGGCTCACACTGCCCATCAGAGTCCGTCGGATGGTACCCAGGCCTCGTGTCCCTGTGATGATCATGTCCACTTTGTGTTCTTCGCTGGCCTTGACAATGACCTCGCCGGGTTTGCCGCCAGACAGTCGAATCACGTTGCCTTTAATCTAAGGGTGACAAGAAAACCAGTCTATTGTGAAAAATTCGACTACGTTAATTCATGTATGCGTTGGTGAATACTTTTGGAAGCTTGGGGTTTAACGCTTGCGTCCGATACACAGAGAATGTCTGAGGTCTGCATCGTTGGATTGATGGGGATCATACGTCATTCCGACTTTTCCTACATCGACACACCGATTATCTTGAGGAAGACTGTTGCAGAGTTCTCCTTCTCTTCTCCAAGTTCAGAAACCAGCGGGGTGTGCTAGACTGGTACTGAAAGTTGACATCTGCAGAGGCATCTATTTGTATTTAACTATGCGATAATTCAACACACAGGCGCGCATGCACACACAGCTGACTAAACTTGCAATGTCCCCTCCAAAAGTTGTGGGTAATTCATCTTAAGGCCCATGGGGAAGAAGGGGACAAAATGGGCCAATGTCAGAAGCTTGGTTGATCCATTCACAATTAGCAAGCAGTGTAGATACACCTGACGCTTCGATAGAATGTCTCTAACCTTGTGAAGCGAACTAACAACAGTGAGGTTTATAGCTCCAACAAAAGCACAGCATGTCAGATTCATGGGTCCTTCAGTTAAAGCACAACACACGAGGCTGCTAGTGTAGTCAACAAGCACAAAACAAACGAGGTCGTTGGCTGCCCTAACACGCACACAACAAACGAGGAAGATGGCTACCCCAACAATCACACAAGAGGCCGATGACTGTGTTTTCTGGTATGTATGCAGCGCGTGAAATCAATATGGAACTTATCTAATTGCTACAGTTAAGTGTGTGTGTTTCTGTGTTAATTGCTTTGTGTCAACAAGCCCTCTCTCTCTCTCTCTCTCTCTCTCTCTCTCTCTCTCTCTCTCTCTCTCTCTCTCTCTCTCTCTTCATCTACTCTCGCTTGCTATCTCACCCTCTCTCTCTCTCTCTCTCTCTCTCTCTCTCTCTATCTATCTATCTCTCTCTCACACACACACACACAGACATGGCAGTTTGACAAACAGATACACATGCACGCGTGCCCACTGATATACAGGCACACACAGACAGTCATATCAGTTTGACGATCACACAAGATAAGGCGGGAATGAGTTGCAGGCATGGTCTGTTAGATTGTGATGTCCACAGAAGATAACCACAGATCGATGAGGAAGCAGATGACAGGAACCAGGATAAGTGCGGCCATTATGCTACTGACCAAATGTACTGACGATGATCCTCACAACTGTTTCAGAAAGAGCTATAGAAAAAAAAATAGATCGTTATTTATGCATCACTGACTATACGAAAGCATTTGATTGTTTGAAACACGAGAAAATAATAAAACTACCGGAAAAGTTACACATTAATGGGACAGATTTTCGAATTATAGAGACCTTGTCATGACAGCAAGCAGCTGCTATAAGAATTGATAACTGCCGAGAGGTATGATCGCCCACGCCAGTTGGCAAGGCACCTAATGATGACTTACGATGATCACGACTATGAGAAGAAAGAAAAAAAAAGGGAGGGAAAAAAGGGGGGGGGGGATATAGAAAAAAGATAACTTACCCCAGCGTTTTGCAACTTCTTCTGAAATTGGCTCAAGGCGCTTGCAGAATCCATCTCCTCCTCCCTGACCATCCTAGAGACAGCAGACGACGCTGGGGCCTGGAATGCTGAAGGTAGAACTCACTCTCAGGCATGTATTATCTAACAGCACTGGTTCAGTTATCAAATGTCAAAAGCCGAAACCTTTCACTAGGGGCCCTGGTTCAAATCAATCTCCTTGTTGCACCCCAAATCACGCGGGTGTTTCGCCATATACCCTCACAGCTGCTTGTTGATCCTAATGCAGCGGTTCAACTAAGTGGTAAATATGTTTTCGCAACTCAAGGTTCTCCCTTACAATGTGTTATTGAGCACAGCCAACAGCTTTTCAATAATCAATGAAACGAAACATGTACAATCTATAAGACACTCTATTGTCTTCAGTGGGTGTATAAATAATCAAAGTGTTGGCGTATAAGTTACAGTCTGATGACTTGTAAACACTCTTCCCTATAAAGTCTCTGAAGATGGCTTTCACATTTGAAGTCAAAATGTATGCCACAATTGGGTGTCGAATCATACAACAGAACCACCAGCTCTTCTACTGTGAGGTCTCCATTGTGGACCCCGGAAGCAAAACAGGAATGGAAATCAAAGACAGTTGAAGTAAACAATAGAAAAATTCGCCAGACTCCACACCAGATGGAGTGGAGAGCGCAGAAAGAGTTGGACAAGAAACTGTAGAAGAGTTTAACGTTGCACAGCAGATGAAAACTGAAGATTCAACATGGGAACATTCTATCAATGAACTTGGAGGGGATAAATCACTGGCAAGATTCTGGAAACTACACAGACTGATGTGAATGCCCACATGAAGAGCACGAGAGAGAGATGGCTGTTCGCTTCAACCAGAGCATTAGAACAGCGTCAGTACCAGAGGCTGCACAACTTTTTCATCCCACACATAAAATCAGGGCAAAGATCAATCAAGATTCGGCGACTTTATTATGGGAAATATCCTGGAAGAAATCGTTGCAGTTATACAGTTATACTGCAAGCATTTCCGGAAAGCGAAGAGCTTCTCCTTAGAGGTTTAGATAGTTACTGACCAAAAACCTTTACTTCTGATGTTTATTAAAGGTTTCACAATAGACAAGCGAGGATAGAAGCAGCATTTTTTTTTTTTTTTTGAGGATGTCTACATAAGTCTCATGTTATATTCTCATGTCACTTTTATAGAAGAGAGCCTTCCCTGGTAGCAGCTGTTCTGCACTCGCTTATGATTACCGTTCTTTATCATTCATCATCATCATCATCATCATCATGATCATCATCATCATCATCAGGTGCCTTGCCGACTGGCGTGGGCGATCATGCCTCTCCATAATCTGCAATATCCTGCAGCATGTATCAGTTCGTGTGCTGACACACCTCCATGCCATGCAACAAGACTGTCAAGCATCTTCTCTCATTGTCTTCCTCTATCTCTCCTTCCACATATCTTTCCAGTGGTCACAACATGTTCTATTTTCCCTCTTCTCATAAAATGGCCGAAAAATGATGACTGTCTCCTTCTGATGTCTGTGATAAGTTGTCTTCGGGCTCCCGCCTCTTTCAAAACCTCTTGGTTGCTCTTTTTGGCTGTCCAAGGTATTCTAAGCATTATTCTGTGAAACCACATCTCCGAGGCCTCCAGAAATTGTTTGGCCTGCCTACCGATTGTCCAGGATTCACAGCCATATGTTAAAACTGGATGTATGTAGCAAGCAAGAATTCTTTTTCTAACTCTCAATGACAAGGATATATTGCACAAGATGTTTTTAATTTTATAAAATGCAGTTTTTGTCTGTCCTATTCTATTTCTTATCTCAGTTATGCATCTTCCATCTGATGCTATCCATGTGCCCAGATATTTAAATTTATGTACTTGTCCTAAAATAACACCATCAACTTTTATTACAAACTTAGGAATAATTCGTTTCTTCGATACCACCATTACTTCTGTCTTCCCATTATTCAAACTGAGGCCCATTCTTCCACTTTCTAACACCACAATGTCTATCAGTTCCTGTAGTTCTTTCTGACTTGTTGCTATCAAGACTGTGTCATCGGCATAACGTAAATTGTTTATATTGTGCCCATCAACCACAATTCCGGGCATACCAATTAAAGTTCTCATTATATATTCACTGTATATTGAAAAGAAATCAGGTGACAGTACACATCCTTGTCGTACGCCCCTCGTTATGCTTTAAATGTACCTAAACAATTATTAATTCTTATAGCTGCTGTTTGCTGCCAATACATATTCTTTATTATTCGTAGATCTTTCCCATCAATGTTTAATTTTTCTAACATTTTGATTACTTCTTCATGCTTCACACAGTCAAATGCTTTTGTATAGTCTATGAAGCATATGTACAAATCAGTCTTTACTTCTATAGCTCTTTCTGACAATGTCCTTAGGATGTATATTGCATTGTTTGTACCCTTTCCTTCTACAAATCCACATTGTTCATCGCTGATTTCTGGTTTAATTTTCTTTTCTTTTTATTTCCATTCGTTATAATTAACATTCGTTATAATTGCCATTCGTTATAATTACCATTCGTAATAATTAGGGAGCCCATTGTGTAAAGCTGAAACAATTTCTTTTCACATCAGAGAAGAACACTATTGTTTCTTGTGGGTTACATTTCTAGCAGGGTAATTATTTATTTACAGCAAGACGACAGTAACTACCAGCCCCGCCTCTACAACAAAAACAACAACTACTACTACTACTACTACAACTACTACTACTACTACTACTACTCCCCCTCCACCACCCCCCCCCCAACCAACAACAACTATTACTTCTACAAAAACAACTACTAAAACTTCTACCACACCACCAGCAACAACAACTACCGCCACAACTGACATCGACCAGGATCACTCACGTGCAGTCAAGAGTCCCGCGTGCTCGGAGCAGTAGGCGATTAACACGTCGTCCTTGTCCTTGTAGAAATATTTCACGTACCCTGGGGATGGTCATATAGGACGGCTTAGAGACATGGGACAAGAGAGCAGGGGACACTGGACAAGGCAGTGGAGACACGGGGCAAGAAGACACAGGACAAGACAGTGGAGACACGGGACAAGACAGTGGAGACACGGAACAAGACAGGGGGAACACGGGACAAGACAGGGGGGACACGGGAAAGACAGTGGAGACACGGGACGAGAGGACAGGAGACACGGGACAAGCCAGTGGAGTCATAGGACAAGAGGGCAGGGGACACTGGACAAGACGGTGGAGACATGGGACAAGAGGGCAGGTTACAGTGGGAACATCGGACAAGACAGCGGGGTGCATGGAACAAAAGCGCAGGGACACGGGGCAATGAAGTGGAGACACGGAACAAGGCGATATACAAAAATGGGGTAGGAGTGTAAAGTAAAAATCATTTTGTTTTTGTTTTTTGTTTTTACGCGCTGAAGTCTTTTTTATTTAGTGTGAATATAATATCTTTATATGAAAGGCAGTTCATCCACGCAATCATTATCAGTGTCATCTCTTTTGGATTAATTTTAGGAGAAAACATTACAATTGGCCCGACTCATTAGGCAACTGTGTGAATTGTGGGACATCAAATGTGAATAAGTGGGTTATTATCAGCATTTAGCTGGTCCTTTACAGAATGTGGTTCCCATCACAGGCCTCCTGATAGAAACTCTGTCCTTCGCAACTTCCCTGCCTCATGCCCTCTCCTGCACAGTGTGTGTCTAATGTTCTGTGCCAATCTTCGAGCTGATCGGCCCCTTTCCCGGCACCCTGCCTGCGCTACAGTTCGCGCCAACTGACCCTGGGCTTTGATATGGCCAAAGTATTTTAGTTTCTTAGAGAAGATGCTGTTTATGCACGAATTTTCATTGATGCTCAGATTTTAATGTCAGTGTTTTTGTTCCTTTTGATGTATGGTATAAACATATTTCTATGGTTCGTTGCGTATCCTTAAGTCGACGTTGCAGAACCAACCCCAGCATTTTTTTTTTTTTTTTTGCCTTTGTCATTTTCTAGGCAAATTTTCCGTTCAGTAGTTTGTCACTGCTTTTTCAACTGTCGACTCTCCGTACCATTGTCAAAACCAACGCAAGACGGTCTGCTGTCAAATGATCCGCAGCTTGGATCTAACGTGGCACCACGGCATCACGAAGCTCGTTCGCACCGCCTAAGCGACTGAAGCTGATATAGTACATCAGTCTATAATACTCAACCTTATTTTATCCTTAGTGATCAAAAGTATGTACGTGGGACCAGTTATTCTCTTCTGAACCAGACTTTAAGTCGCATCTCACTATAGAGAAGATGACAAGTACAATCATGTCGCTGGCTGTTGACAAACAAGACATTCACATGTGACCCCACAGACGAGATGACAAGTACAATCATGTCGCTGGCTGTTGACAAACAAGACATTCACATGTCATCCCCACAGACGAGATGACAAGTAAAATCATGTCGCTGGCTGTTGACACACAAGACATTCACATGTGATCCCCACAGACAAGATGACAAGTACAATCATGTCGCTGGCTGTTGACGCAAGACATTCAGATGTGATTTTCACAGACAAGATGACAAGTACAATCATGTCGCTGGCTGTTGACGCAAGACATTCAGATGTGATCCCCACAGACAAGATGATGTTGTTGACACACAAGACATTCCATGTGATCCCCACAGACAAGATGACAAGTACAATCATGCTGCTGGCTGTTGACACACAAGACATTCACAGGTGATCCCCACAGACAAGATGACGTACAATCATGTCGCTGGTTGTTGACACACAAGACATTCACAGGTGATCCCCACAGACAAGATGGCAAGTACAATCATGTCGCTGGCTGTTGACACACAAGAAATTCACATGTGATCCCCACAGATGAGATGACAAGTACAATCATGCTGCTGGCTGTTGTTACACAAGACATTCACAGGTGATCCCCACAGACAAGATGACAAGTACAATCATGCTGCTGGCTGTTGACACACAAAACATTCACAGGTGATCCCCACAGACAAGATGACAAGTATAATCATGTAGCTGGCTGTTGACACACAAGACATTCACAGGTGATCCCCACAGACAAGATGACAAGTATAATCATGTCCCTGGCTGTTGACACACAAGACATTCACAGGTGATCCCCACAGACGAGATGACAAGTATAATCATGTCGCTGGCTGTTGACACACAAGACATTCACAGGTGATCCCCACAGACAAGATGACAAGTACAATCATGTCACTGGCTGTTGACACACAAGCCATTCACAGGTGATCCCCACAGACAAGATGACAAGTACAATCATGTCACTGGCTGTTGACACACAAGACATTCACAGGTGATCCCCACAGACAAGATGACAAGTACAATCATGTCACTGGCTGTTGACACACAAGACATTCACATGTGATCCCCACAGACCAGATGACAAGTACAATCATGTCACTGGCTGTTGACACACAAGACATTCACAGGTGATCCCCACAGACAAGATGACAAGTACAATCATGTCACTGGCTGTTGACACACAAGACATTCACATGTGATCCCCACAGACAAGATGATAAGTAAAATCATGTCACTGGCTGTTGACACACAAGACATTCACAGGTGATCCCCACAGACAAGATGACAAGTACAATCATGTCACTGGCTGTTGACACACAAGACATTCACAGGTGATCCCCACAGACAAGATGACAGGTACAATCATGTCACTGGCTGTTGACACACAAGCCATTCACATGTGATTCCGAATCCTGCCGGTCTCTTGCTTTGCTTTGCATGTTATCACAAGATGGCAGGCAGTACGCGGGGTATTATTTCGACAGGGACCAATAGTTTGCATAGATCCTCATAATAAAAAAAAAAGCAAAAACAGATTTTTCTGGTAGCAGGAATGGAAATCAAACCAGACTGTATGGCGAGGTGAATGCAACTGATCGTCCATTATGTAAATAAAATGTTATCTCGGCTCGACGCATTGTGTTGTTTTCGTTCGCTTGAGAGATGCGCCACTTCAGATAACTTTCGGATTTCTGCAAGCTGATTAAAAGCTCTGCCAGGACACTGTAATCAGGCCACGACAATCACTGTCGCCAGAGATTAGATTTTGAGACTGGCACCTTGAGAAACATGGACAGGAGAACGAAAGATGTTCACAATATTCCTCATAAACCCCAGCTATCGACAGGGGATATGGTTAGCTGTCACATCACATGACGAGCCGGCCACTGTCAGTGCACTTATCATATCACGGATTATCATATCGCAGGTTATCATATCACTGATGTCTAGCAGCGGAGAAGACACTCCAGACTCAACAGATGATACCAGGACTGGACACATAAGACAATCAAAGCAATGCTTCCGCGTTGTTAAGTGTGAACAAAAAAATACACAAGCAATAGATTTCACAATTTGTTGCACGGCATACTTTACTTATCTGGTAGCGATCCGTTACCTTTGTCATGAACTTTGTAAATAGAAATACATGATAGTGCCCTTGCGGTTGTCCTGGTAAATCAGGAGGTTGCTTTTGAGTGTGGTTGAATCTGTACTTTTGTTTTAAAAGATTCATGCTTCATTTATTAACTGTTACTGTAAAATGCTCCTGACGAGATGCAGCAGAATATGCCAGCCAATAAATTGTGCAATCTATTGTTTGTGTCTTCTTTGTTTAAGCATAAGGCATTGTTTTCAATATAAGATACTTGCACATGTATTCACATTAATCATTATAACGATGCTAAATATAAGTCCCTAGGTTGGAAGACCTGAAGTCGACGTGATAGATGAAAAACATGAGATTGTAGGAGTTGTCTTGGGAACACGAGATAACTGGGAAAGGGGGTGGGGGAGGGGGTAAGGGGGGGGGGGGGTGAATAGCGATTCATTCTGTGATAGGGCCCCAGAGATAGAAAGAGTGAAAGTTGATCCACAGCTCGAAGGAGTGGAAGTGGGTCGTCTGCATCGAAAGCAATGTTGAAAAACAGCTGAGAGAAAGACGACTGATGATGTGTCCTGCTGACTGCTAATTGTGAGCATGTCAACGCTGACAGTCCAGAGCAAAGCTGCATGCTTCAAAGTTTGAACATGTGGAACCTGGATGGATGAAGTAAGTGTCAGGCTGTAAATTGTTCGTAAAATATTCGACTTGTAGAATGATTCTCGTAGCTCATGTGTTATAATTGTGGCAGGACGCTAAAGACCGTTTATAATTTATTTGTTTAGCTGCACTTACGAGAAACATCTGGCAAGAGGTTATTAAATGAGATGTCCAGCGCAAGAGGATCTCTCCAGTTTCAGATTCGGATTACGCCGGTCGCCCAGGGACAGGAATTCCCAGGAATGTGTTCGGGCCACTGTGCGGGGACAGACGGATTGTCTGACTGTTTACGATGGTGATATGTTTCAATAGTGAGATTTAGAAGTTAAACTGTGTACAGCTTGATATCAGTGTGTATCACCGCTCGGAGATATTTGAATTTTTTTGTCGCTAGAAGCGAATTTTTATCTTTGCTGGATGTAGTGCTTAGCACATGTGTGGATACGATGTCGATTATTACTGTAGTGTTATCTGTGAAGTGTTACCTTTGTGTTTAGTAAAATAAACAGATGTTCAATGTGATGATTATAATGCATTTGCTTCATTCAAGTTAGAATTTGTAGTCCGTGCACGTGGTTTGTCTGGGTGTATGTAGTCACATTTTATTGTCGTTGTGTAACACAATTATTCACATACCCATTGCCAGGGGTTTGATGAAATACTTCATGGCCCCTGCACAGAACTCCTGTCTTTTCTTTACTTTTTCTGTTTCCGCTGTTCAGTAGGGAACTACTTATTATCCTATCCCACAAATTTCTATTTTCTTCTCTCCCTACTTTTATTTTCTTTTTCCTTATTCCCGCTAGCACATCACCAATAAACATAAAACTGTAATCAACTCCCGTCGACTGTACTGTGGAGAAGTGCGACAGTTGACAGGGAAGGAGATCTGTCTCGTCTGATCTCTGATCTTAACCTCTAGACAGAAGTGTCTTGGTAGTATCAGCGAGACCCAGTACAAAGAGACAGTCATCAGCATGTCATGCCGATAAACATTGGTGGTCATTGTTCACCATCGACAGACACGATCACCACAGTCGTGGATCATGTCTGTGTTCTTGTTTCGATCATGTCCTGTGTACTCGACATGAATGCATTTACATTCTTATCCCCTCACCCCCTGCCCTTTTAGCGCCAAGCGTGCGAGACATGACAAAGGTTTCGTGTTTATTTCTCTTTATAACCTTCTAAATCTATGTCAGTGCTTTCCAACCAGTTTACAGTTCTCAAATGTTTTCTCTTCCCCCCCCCCCGCCCCACCACCCCCCGGCCCCCTTTTTTTTTCCAGCACATTACAATCACCACATATTTCTCAGAAACTACATTTCCTTCGCCACCCGATTGTGCTCGGTTTGTTTGCCTGTTATCCATGTTTTGACTGCATACAATAATACCGGCGTATTAATAAGAGAGAAATGGTCAATCTAGCAAACGGAACAGCGACAGTGTTAATAGACTAAAGGGGGACACCCTTTCCCTGACAGACAGAAACAAGGTGATAATGAAACAGAACTGGAGCTATATGGCTCTAGCTTTGTCTGACTGACGGACTAGATTTGACAATCTCTTCACCTCTTCTGAGTTTATTCAAAAGGGAATCTCCTACTGTGCCTCAATCAGTGAAGTTCTTGGTTCAGTAGTCAAATTGTCATTAGGCTGCAATAGACACCAGACGTCTAAGAGCTCTTCTTTGGCTTCAAAGACAACATCATCATGCATGAAATACGAAAGTTTCAAGCAGCTGTATGCACAGTGAAGATAAGTTATCACGTAGAATGACCATAGAGACACACGCAAGCACACATATACAACCATTAATGCTTACAATCAAAGGCATAGTCAGAATGCTTGCTGCCATCCATGGCGATGAGAATTTTTCGTGGTGGCGTCGACATCTTGTTTCTTGATTAACTTCTAGAAGAATCTTTTTTCAATGTGACGGCATTTTCTGCAAACATGAAAATGTGACATGAAGACTGTTATGTAGTAACTATGATAATATTACATACACAGAACTGGTTCTCACTGGTGACTCAGTTCCACAATGACACAGAGAAACTCGGGACACGTCCAGAGATCTCCAGATCGTCCCTCTGTCAGATCCGTCAGTGTACAACGTGCCAGCCGGACTGTCCACTGAAGAGGCTACTTGCCAGCTCGTTGTGTTTATGTATGGTAACACCGATCTTCAGTGTGAAGGGACACAATCCAGCCGTCCATTTGGATTCATTCACTGAAAATCCTGTTGTACTCCCAAAGCTCTTAGTGCGTCCATAATATCGATACCCTCCCCTTTTCGACCTTCTGTCAACTCTCTCGGTGCGTTCATAATGTCGGTTCCATTCACTTTTCAACCTTCTGTATAGCTAACTCTCTCAGTGCGTTATAATGTCGGTTCCATCCACTGTTTCACCTTCTGTAATCTTAGCAGTGCCCATCAATCTTATCCGTAGTTGTCCATCACTCCCACAATACAATGAGTGCCTACACACCTCGCTGTAGACTTTCCGATCGTCCAGTCAGTTGAGTCACTTGGTAGCTCATAAGTTAAACACGTACCATACACATCTGACCTCAGAGAAACGCTACCTATAATTGTTGAGTAAATCGAACTAAGGGTCACTACACCAAAAATTTTTATTTTTTTATTTACAGAGTTAGAGCAGTTATTTTATAATGGTCATTTGTAGGGATACATGCTATTACATTTGTATACTTTAAGTGTTACAAAAATCATAGTTGTCATGGCAATAGCCGCCATTTTGTGAGAAAAAAAAAAACAATATGTACTTAGAATCCTAAAATTTTAAAAACACACATAGGTATTTAACAATAGATGATGGATTCATGATTTTGTATCTTATTTAGAGGTACAGGTCTAGTTTATTTACTTTAAACATGTTTTTAAATATTTTTCGTAGAATATTAAAATGTAGGTTTATTGAAAAAGTCGAAAAAATCTAGCATCATAAGACAATAATCAAATTTAAAAAACAAAACTTTCTAAAATCTACTTTTAGATAGACCAGTCCCTATAATATTGTTCACGGAGTATGCATACAGAATTTCATGTTTCTACTCTTTATATTAGCTTAGATTTTAGGATTTCACACACACAGCAAACTGAAATATTGAGATTTGAGAAAACTGACTTTTAAACTTTTTTTTTATCTTAAAAAACTGCACGAGGTGGTGTCGTTAGTATTAACTTTTCAATGCTAAATTGTTTACAAATGACATAAATTTTGTGTGTCATCTATTCTACGAATGCCGAACTTTACAAAAACGAATACATTGAAAAAGTGATATTTTTGTCATAAATTGGAAAAAAATGCCGTGTAGTGACCCCTTAAGGAAGAGCTGTCTTTATTAGATCTCAGTCTCCCACACTCTATACGTTATCTTGCCACTTGTACCGTTATCTACCCTTTGCTTGTCTTATAGCTCCAGTGAGCCTTGTATTAAAAACGCAGGTGATGTGAATTGCCAGTATTCATTGTTTGTTTTTTGAACTTATTCACTCACAACCGTTCTCACACCAGCATCTGCAGGACTTCCAACTTTGTTTACTGGCATCCAGAGCGACAACTCGCTGACATATGATCCAGGTTTGTTTACTGGTAACCAGAGCGACAACTCGCTGACGTATGATCCAGGTTTGTTTACTGGTATCCAGAGCGACAACTCGCTGACATATGATCCAGGTTTGTTTACTGGTATCCAGAGCGACAACTTGCTGACATATTATCCAACTTTGTTTACTGGTAACCTGAGCGACAAATCGCTGACATATGATCCAGGTATTTTTACTGGTAACCAGAGCGACAACTTGCTGACATATGATCCAGGTTTGCTTACTGGTAACCAGAGCGACAACTCGCTGACATATAATCCAGGTTTGTTTACTGGTAACCAGAGCGACAACTCGCTGACGTATGATCCAGGTTTGTTTACTGGTATCCAGAGCGACAACTCGCTGACATATGATCCAAGTTTGTTTACTGGTATCCAGAGCGACAACTTGCTGACATATTATCCAACTTTGTTTACTGGTAACCTGAGCGACAAATCGCTGAAATATGATCCAGGTTTTTTTTTTACTGGTAACCAGAGGGACAACTTGCTGACATATGATCCAGGTTTGTTTACTGGTAACCAGAGGGACAACTTGCTGACATGATCCAGGTTTGTTTACTGGTAACCAGAGCGACAACTTGCTGACATATGCTCTAGGTTTGTTTACTGGTAACCAGAGCGACAACTTGCTGACATATGATCCAGGTTTGTTTACTGGTAACCAGAGCGACAACTTGCTGACATATGCTCTAGGTTTGTTTACTGGTAACCAGAGCGACAACTTGCTGACATATGATCCAGGTTTGTTTCCTGGTAACCAGAGCGACAACTTGCTGACATATGATCCAGGTTTGTTTACTGGTAACCAGAGGGACAACTTGCTGACATATGATCCAGGTTTGTTTACTGGTAACCAGAGGGACAACTTGCTGACATGATCCAGGTTTGTTTACTGGTAACCAGAGCGACAACTTGCTGACATATGATCCAGGTTTGTTTACTGGTATCCAGAGCGACAACTTGCTGACATATGATCCAGGTTTGTTTACTGGTAACCAGAGGGACAACTTGCTGACATATGATCTAGGTTTGTTTATTGGTAACCAGAGCGACAACTTGCTGACATATGCTCCAGGTTTGTTTACTGGTAACGAGAGCGACAACGTGCTGACATATGATCCAGGTTTGTTTACTGGTAACGAGAGCGACAACTTGCTGACATATGATCCAGGTTTGTTTACTGGTATCCAGAGCGACAACTCCCTGACGTATGATCCAGGTTTGTTTCCTGGTAACCAGAGCGACAACTTGCTGACATATGATCTAGGTTTATTTACTGGTATCCAGAGCGACGACTTGCTAACATATGATCCAGGTTTATTTACTGGTATCCAGAGCGACAACTTGCTGACATATGATCCAGGTTTATTTACTGGTATGCAGAGCTTGCATTATCCTGTTAAATGTGTGTCACCTTTGCCATAAGGTGCTTTCATATGTCCAAGAAGGGACTAGTTTGAGTGTTTCTTCCTTTGTCCTCACGTTCATCGTTTGTCTTTCTTTGATATTGTTACTTATCACTATTTCCATACTCTGGATGTTTCACCTCCATGTTCGTTCCTTCTGGCACTGACTGCATGCACAAACTGTTGCCCCTTTTCATCGGAGAGTTCAAACAGTTAACAATCGGTCCGACTCTAGCCAGTTTAATTTTGTTGACAGTAAACTGATGTAAACAAAAGTTATGGACTCTTTTCCTTGCCTACAGGCGTATGGGCATATAGGGCTAGAGCTATATTTTTTAGACCAAACTGCACTCGCTGGGCGATGTGGTCAACATCACGCTGGCCGCCTTTGCTTCTCAGAACCGTAGCTAGTGCCCATTTAATGCTGGGTCGACCTGGGTGCCAGGGTCATTTCTGAAGGAAGTCCGGCTCCGTTCAGATTTAAACCCACGACCTTCGGATCGGCAGGCAAGCATCTAACCACTATACCACGGTGGCTCCCATATTTTCATGTAAAATGTATTGTTAAAATGTGTCGGTATAATTTGAAACAGATGCAATGGAAATAAACAATCGTTTTTGTTTCTACAATAATACATCACATATCCCACGTTGAGAAAAGTCTTGGACCATCACATAGAACAAACAGAAACACTGTTCACGTGCTGATATTTTATGTAAATATAGTTTTTTAACATAATTAACAGAAAATAATCTCACAGTGAAAGTATAGGTAAATTGTAGTTATCAACGTTAAGTTTCAAAGCCTGAATTTCTAATAGAAACCGGACCATACTATTTATATCCTGTCATATTTCGTTGTTATCTCTCGGGATAATAATAGAGCAATAGTTTTAAAAAAATGAATGAAATAAAAGGATTCTTTCGGTTAATTACATAAATCTACCACAATAAACTGTCTGTGGCTTCCAGAAACCAGACCTTTAACGTTTATTGATGTCTCTAACGCATTCATACAACGCTCGTCTACATACAGTATAGCAGCAACTCTGGCTGCACGCGACCAGAACCACGCAGCTCGTCCCGCTCACAAACAAGATGTAACATTGTGGAAGTTTGGAAATAAACGGGGATTCGGAAAGAACGGATGTATGAGGACAGGAGGGAATGTGTACGACCAGTGTACCATTAAAACATGTAGCCTATAGTGTACACCTTACTTAAAGATTATCTGCTGGGCTGCGACGGATGGCAATCCCAGGCGGAGCTATTGAATAGGCTATCTGTGGGCCGAATTCGGCCCACAGAAGCCTAGCTAGCAAGTGGCCCGCGGATCGTTTCAGTTGTATTATATTATTTGCAGCGCGATCCTCTAGCCTATTACCATCCCTATTTTAAATATTTGAGCCCCTGAATAAACTTGCTGACAACTGTAGACGCTGGTTTCACACTTACTAGATTTTCTCCAATGTCAGATCCGTCTCGACCATCTCTCTGATCACAATATAGAATCGCCTTTTCTAAAGATGGCGTAGGGTTCTTTCTGGTGCACACAGGTGCCGTGCACGTCCTCTTTAGTAGTATTAGTATTTTTAAACAAATATCTTGTTTAACCACCAAGGTTAGGTTTATAACTGGAATATATAGCGTTAAACGAGTTTTTGATGATATATATTTGTTATTTTATATATCATGTAATTATTTGCATGACCAGTGTGTAATTTGTATTGTTTATACATTTTTTACGGTCTGGTAACTCTGCTTACAAGGGAATAAATACAATGTCATGATTTGGAATTACTTGGCGTTTGGTGACACGAAACGTTAGTGGTTTGGAACCACTTGGTGTCTGG